AGGGACGTGTGATCGACGTCACCCTTTCAGAAGTCGAGAAAGCGGGAGATTGTGGGTCATCGAAGGATCCCAGTGCGCTGATCGAGATCACGACTCCAGCGAAAGAACTGGGGGAGGGATCTAACCGGAGCACGACGATGGGACCGGTGGTGACTCAGTCGGAGGAGTCACAGACGTCGAGGAAACCACCGAGAACGCGGAAGCTTGAGTTACCAGTGTTCGATGGAGACTACACGGACAGCTGGGTTTTGAGAGTCGAGCAATATTTTGAGGGAGCGGATTATACGGAGGAGGAGAAACTCCGATCCCTTAGGATGTGCTTTGACGGGGAAGCCTTGATGTGGTACCGGTGGGAGAGATCCAGAGACGCGTTTCTGAGTTGGAGTAACTTGAAACAAAGGGTCTTGGATCAGTACTCCGTCACAAAAGATGCCACCGCTGGAGAGAGATTGTTGAAGATGAACCAGGAGGGGACAGTACGTGATTTTATTCAAGAGTTCATCTCTTTGGCTACAAACACGACGGGGATCCCAGATCAGGTGTTGGAAATGGCCTTTATGAACGCCTTGAAACCAAAAATCATAGCGGGAGTGAGGATGTTTGAGCCGAAAACGCTACAGAAGATGATGGATACGGCGAAGTTGGTTGAGGATTGGACGACAGCCTGTGAAACGGAAGAAGAGAACTCGAGATCGAGGGGTTTATCGTCGAAGTCTATTTCTCAAAAATCTGGTAGCCCAAAAACCTTAACGGGCCGCCAACAAACCACGAAGCCCAGTTCACCTAAGCCCAACTTTAACTCTGGTTACCAGTCGACAGCAACTAGGTCAAATGACAAGAAACCACGGATCTCGCATCAACGCTTGAAACCGCCATTCCGACGGTTTACTCCGGCCGAGATAGAAAAGTGGAAGGCTGAAGGACTGTGTTTCAAGTGCAACGAGAAATACAGTGCTCAGCATGAATGTCCGCGGAAGGAGTTGATGATAATCGTAGTAAAGGAGAATGGAGAAGAAGAGGAGTACACAGAGGAGCCGGTGGAGTGCGGTGACGAAGCGTAAGTGCAGGTCGCGGAGCTGTCGATGAACTCAGTGGTGGGTATGACGTCACCGCGAACATTGAAGCTAGGCGGTAGGATGAGAGGAGAGGAAGTGGTGGTGTTAATCGATTCAGGGGCAACACATAACTTTATCTCTGACCGATTAATACAAAAGCTGAAGTTGGAGCCTGAAACCACTACGAGCTATGGAGTATTAGTAGCAGGGGGAATTCGTGTGAAAGGCAGAGGAACAGTGAAGGGAGAAAAGCTGCAACTCCAGGGGTGCACCATAGATACCTCCTACTTACCACTGGAATTGGGATTGGCCGACATCATCCTGGGGATTCAGTGGCTGGATAAACTGGGAGAAACTCGCTTTAACTGGAAACTGCAGTGGATGAAGTGGAAAGAGGAGGGGAAATGGGTGACATTACAAGGAGACCCAAGCTTACACACGGCTACGGTATCGCTCAAAGCGATCTGGAGAGCCATAGAGCAGGATGGAGAAGGCGTGATGGTAGAGTTTGGAGGGATACTGAAAGAGGAGAACACAGAAGAGGAAGAGGGAACCGGAGTATGGGATGGTGTGTTGAAAGAATACGAGGGGGTGTTTGCTGAGCCAACAGGGTTACCTCCGTCAAGAGGAAAGGAGCACGCTATAAACCTCAAGGAGGGATCCGATCCAGTCAGCGTGACACCCTTCCGATATCCCCAAGCTCAGAAGTCCGAGATAGAGAGGCAGATTGCATCTATGTTGGCTGCGGGAATAATTCAAGAGAGCAACAGTTCCTTCTCTAGACCGGTGCTACTGGTGAAGAAGAAGGATGGCAGCTGGAGGTTTTGCGTAGATTACAGGGCGTTGAATAAGGTGACCGTAGCTGATAAATACCCGATCCCAATGATAGATCAGCTTCTCGACGAATTACATGGTGCGAAGATCTTCTCGAAGCTTGACTTGCGCTCCGGTTACCATCAAATACTGGTGCGATCAGAGGATATCCCAAAGACTGCGTTCCGCACCCATGACGGTCATTATGAGTTCCGCGTAATGACGTTTGGTCTTTCAAACGCTCCTGCCACATTCCAGTCGCTGATGAATGAGGTGTTCAGGCCTTACTTGCGCAAATGTGTCTTGGTGTTCTTTGACGATATACTACGATATACTAATCTACAGTCAGACCGTAGAGAAGCATCGGGAACATCTGTCCACGGTTTTACAGATACTCCAGCAACAGCAGCTCTATGCCAATCGGAAGAAGTGCCATATTGGCAGTGAGAGGGTGGAGTACCTGGGACACATTATCTCTAAGGAAAGCGTATCAGCTGATAGGGAAAATATCAAAGCGATGGTGGAATGGGTGGAGCCAAGGAATGTGAAGGAGTTGAGAGGGTTCCTAGGCCTCACCGGGTACTACAGAAATTATGTGAAAGACTACGGGAGTATTGCTAGACCATTGACAGGATTATTAAAGAAAGAGCAGTTCAAGTGGGGAGAAGAGGCGCATATAGCATTTGATAGGCTTAAACGCGCCATGACCACGATTCCAGTTCTAGCCATGCCCGATTTCAACGCTGTGTTTGTGATATAGTCTGATGCCTCAGGGAGTGGATTAGGAGCAGTACTCATGCAACACAAAAGACCTATAGCCTTCTTTAGTCAAGCTTTGACAGAGAGACAAAGGCTGAAGTCAGTTTACGAGAGAGAGCTGATGGCTATAGTCTTCGCGATTCACAAATGGCGACACTACCTGATTGGGCGTAAGTTCGTGGTCAGGACCGATCAGAAGAGCCTCAAATTTCTTTTGGAGCAGAGGGCAATTAAACTAGAATATCAGCGTTGGCTTACCAAGCTACTGGGGTTCGACTTCGAGTAATTACAAGCCCGGTATGGAAAATAAGGCGGCGGACGCCTTGTCAAGGAAGGTGACTACGGCAGAACTATTTGCAGTCTCAGTTCCAGTGGCTATTCAACTAGAAGAGGTGAGTGGTGAGGTGGATAAAGACCCGGAATTATAGAAAATTATTCAAGAGCTGCAAGTGGATCCTACAAGTCATCCTGACTTCGCATGGGTGCAGTGTAGACTCTTGAGAAGAGGGAAGTTGGTGATACCGAGGCAGTCGCCGTTGATAGGAGTGATTCTAAAAGAGTTTCATGACAACAAGATGGGGGGACACGGGGGTGTACTTAAAACGCAGAGGAGGATTGCAGATGTGTTTTACTGGTCAGGAATGTTGACTGACATTAGGCGTTATGTGGCTTCTTGCCAAGTCTGTCAGAGACACAAGTATTCTACGCTGTCACCAAGCGGGTTACTACAACCATTACCCAGTCCTCAACAACTCTGGGAGGATATCTCGCTGGATTTCGTGGAGGGGCTTCCGAAATCAGAAGGGTACAACACGGTTCTGGTGGTTGTCGATAGGCTCTCAAAATATGCCCATTTCTTGGGACTCAAGCATCCCTACACAGCGTCAGATGTGGCCTTGTTGTTTGTCCAAGAGGTGGTTAGACTCCATGGATTTCCGCGAACAATTGTCTCTGGCCGCGACAAAATATTCACAAGTGCTTTTTGGAAGGAGCTCTTATGTCTATCTGGGACATGTCTCAACCTGAGCACTGCTTACCATCCCCAGTCAGATGGTCAAACAGAAGTTACCAACAGAGGAATGGAGACTTATTTGAGATGTTACGCAAGTGACAAACCACGAACATGGGGTAAGTTCCTGGCTTGGGCGGAGCTGAGTTACAACACATCGTTTCACTCAGCAATTCAAATGAGTCCTTTCAAAGCAGTGTATGGAAGGGATCCTCCTACGTTGTTGAAGTTTGAATCAGGTTCAACAAGTAACGCGGAGTTGGAAGAGAGGTTGAAAGAAAGGGATCAAATGCTAGAGTCAATCAAGGAACACCTCCACAAAGCGCAGCAGTGTATGAAGCTCAAGGCTGATAAGCACCCACGGGAAGTGGAGTTTGAGGTGGGTGATTTGGTATTCCTGAAACTCAGGCCTTATAGGCAGCAGACAGTGGCAAGAAGGGTTAATGAGAAGTTAGCAGCCAGATACTATGGGCCGTTTGCGATTAAAGCACGCATAGGAAAGGTGGCTTATAAATTGGAGCTTCCTGAGGACTCAAAGATCCACCCTACGTTCCACGTCTCTCAGCTTAAGAAAGTTATCGGAGATTCGCCTGTGGTGGCGCAGATACCTCCTCAGTTAACGCGAGATGGGGTGTTGGAGATGGAACCTGAGGCTGTGCTAAAGTCACGAGTGAACACTGAGACAGGGCAAGAGGAATTACTGATTAAGTGGAAGGATATGCCAGAACATGACAGTTCGTGGGAGTGGAGGTCTGTCTTACAGAAACAGTATCCTGGTTTTGACCTTGAGGACAAGGTCAGTTTGGAAGGGGAGGGATATGATACTGCTGAGGATGACGTTGGAGTTAACAGGCCGCAAATACTGTTTCAGTACAGCCGTCGTAAGGCTCGAAAGCAATGAGGCCAGAAGATTGTGAGTTGTGGCCCAAGAGTGTTGGTACTTGAGGGCGATAAGCTATCTACAGGTTTAAGGAATAAGGTGACGTGGATTGGAGAGGGGACAGGCGCACATGCCATGTTGCGCATACGGAGGGTGTGAGTATCGTTGGAGAGTTTAGTATAAATAGTAAGAGAGTAGGTTGTTATGCTTTTATCAAAAGATTGATCATCATGTTCATGTGAGAGAGGGTACTCGTGTATCTTGTAATTTGGTGATTATCAATATAAGTATTTCCCTTTTGTTATTTACACNCATGCCATGTTGCGCATACGGAGGGTGTGAGTATCGTTGGAGAGTTTAGTATAAATAGTAAGAGAGTAGGTTGTTATGCTTTTATCAAAAGATTGATCATCATGTTCATGTGAGAGAGGGTACTCGTGTATCTTGTAATTTGGTGATTATCAATATAAGTATTTCCCTTTTGTTATTTACACTTTGAGAGGTTACTCGTAACAGTGGCATTGGGGACAAAAGTTGGAATGGGATATGTTGGGTTAGCAGACAGAATGTTCATGTCGTGACCCTTATATTCCAGTCTGCATATGACGTAGGTCCTCTGTACATAAAAAAAATCCACAACTAATATCAATAAAATTTTGCTGTAAAGAGACCTAACAAAGTGGAGGGGATGAAAGAATTACCTGATCTTCTGGTAAGAGAGTGTAGTGATACTCGTGCATAACCAATCAGATTTGATGCTCTGGGAGCTCGAGCTTCTTTCCCTGCAGAACACCAAAACCCTTTTGTAACCAATCTTACCTTTAACTCCACACCAAGTTCCCCACTGATCTTTAACTTCTTCAGGATCCCCAGTTATCTTCCAGAATCCAGAACTCGTTCTCCTGTTCTGTATGTCCCCATTCGAACCCCTACGAGAAAAGAAGTACCACACAAGGTCTCTCGATTTCACCTTCGATTGAACTAATAAATAGAGAGAGACCCAAAAATGCTGTTAGTTACAACTTCAGCACACACACACCTACACAAAAGAATACAGAATGGCAACTTACAGCGCAAGTTCCAAGGATCAAAGTCAGAGTTGTTGACCTGAGGTAATCAGAGGGTCTCTTCCTATGAACTGCCTCATGCTTCCATGGGTTGGAAGTTATAACCATAACTTTTTTTTTCTTGCGGTACAGAGTTTAAAAAACCCATCTGGACAGATATCCACAAGCAAAGTAAGAAGTGCACAGCAACTAAATAGGATGCATCGAAGAGAGGTACAGTAAAATATGATACTAACCTGTTCTGGTGTAGTCTATGTTGTAGGCTTGATCTATGTAGTCCATGTTGTTGTGTGTGGTTAAAGACGTGAAAACACTGCTGCCAAAAAAGAATTTAGCACCCATAGATCTCAATGCCTAACCATCTCCGACCATAAGGGGGTCACACATAGCACCATCATTTGGTATTTCTTGCTTATGGTCTATTGGCCTGATATGACATACATGTGTACAGATTTACCGATTTGACTTAACTAACTCTATACAGTAGTAGCTGATATAATATACAGAGTATCCTGACAGTGTAATCATAAAATTAAGAATAAAGGGTATACATTTTTTTTGTTCATAGATGAAGAGTAGTTCCAATCCAATAAGAATCCAACATTTTTCTGTGTTTCTGGCCTCCCAGAGATTGGATTAATCGGAGTTCTAATTTGGCTGGCCTGGTGAGACGTCAATAAATTTGAGGGAGGGAGAGACTTTTCGGCGGGTTTAGCAGGTTTCATTGCCGTAGCATGATCTTCTATCAAGTCTCAAAGATGGGGTTTTATTAAAAACGCGTTTTGTACGATTTTTACGAAAAATCTCGAATAAATCGTTTAGTTTAGGCAATATATTCAGTGTTTCGTTTAACCGTTGCCGTTTTCTACGATTTCCTCGAGTTCTTTTCGAGAAAACAAAGTTTTACGGTTTTTATAGTAAAACTCGAACGATAGGACGGATCGAGACGAAACGGGAGACATTTCGACCGTGATTCGGAATACGATCGTGTCGAAGGACGTATGCCTTGAATCAAGGATGTGGGAGATCGAGGCTCGGGATGGTCGGCTCGACGTACGGCGAGCTAGTTCAGCTTGGCCAGGTCGCCATATGGTGAACTAGGCGATAAGAACCTGTGGGCAAAGTCAGCACCTCTTAGTTCGCCGTTGGGGAGTCTCTAGTTCGCCTGCTGGCGAACTAAGCCAGCTTGGCTTAGTTCGCCAGCAGGCGAACTAGTCGAGAGGTTCCTAGTTTGCCTTCTGGCGAACTAGTCGGGTAGCTCCTAGTTCGCCTGCTGGCGAACTAAGCCGAGCTGGCTTAGTTCGCCAGCAGGCGAACTAGTCGTGACTAGTTCGCGTTTTGCGGCGGTTTTGGTTTTTCGCGATTTTGTAAAACGATTCTCGAGTTTTATAAAACGATCTTTTAGTTTTATAAAACGATTCTCGAGTTTTATAAAAAGATTCTCGAGTTTTATAAAACGATTCTTCGAGTTTTTATAAAACAATCTTCGGGTTTTATAAAATGATTCTCGAGTTTTATAAAATGATTCTCGAGTTTTATAAAACGATTCTCGAGTTTTATAAAACGATTCTCGAGTTTTATAAAATGATTCTCGATTTTTATAAAACGATTCTCGAGTTTTATAAAACGATTCTCGAGTTTTATAAAACGATTCTCGAGTTTTATAAAATGATTCTCGAGTTTTATAAAACGATTCTCAAGTTTTATAAAACGATTCTCGAGTTTTATAAAACGGTCTTCGAGTTTTATAAAACGATTCTTCGAGTTTTATAAAATGATTCTTCGAGTTTTATAAAACGATTCTCGACTTTTATAAAACGATTCTTTGAGTTTTATAAAATGATTCTTGAGTTTTATAAAACGATTCTTGAGTTTTATTAAAACGATTCTCGAGTTTTATAAAACGATTCTTCGAGTTTCATAAAACGATTCTCGAGTTTTATAAAACGATTCTTTGAGTTTTATAAAACGATTCTGGAGTTTTATAAAACGATTCTCGAGTTTTATAAAACGATTCTTCGAGTTTTATAAAACGATTCTTTGAGTTTTATAAAACGATTTCTTTTATATTTTCTGCGGAGACTTTTTGCCATTGATTTTGTTGTGACCGATTTTGACACCAACAGTTAGCCCCCCCAGCTCGCTAGAATCTTGAGCCTTTAGCGTAAGGTTCTTGCGAGTGGTTAGCAAGTTTTAGTTAAGTTAGGCGGAATTAATGGTTGGAAAGGTCCATTGAAAGTGATCTTTCCACTCTCCAGGGAGCGGAAAGCGTTTAAGATTAGGGCTGCGCCTTGTGAAGGCTGCCTACGTACCCTTTTGAGGGGATCAAGCCTTCCGTAGTTCGTTTCGGAGTTAAGGTTCGTATGACATGTTTCCTAGCAAGACCTTTACTGTCTAGTTATATGTTGTGTAGGAATTATCGAGCATATTGATGTCGATGGCATCTGGACCTTTGTCGGCCTTGAGACTAGCCTCGTAGGCCGTTTGGTCTGGCCGAGCGTGGCCGTTATAGTTTTCGGACTGGCCGTGTGCGGCTCTGAGTCCCTGCCGCTTTTGCGGCTTTTTTAAAAATCAGTTTGCGTTTTTAAGAGCGTGTTTTTATTCGTATGAATGTAGCGGGAAGAATATGAGTTGATATTGAGGGAGGTCCGCGAGTTGTCGTCTCGCATTCCTTTTTCCCTTAGTGTATCGCCTTGTTCGTTTGCCCGTTTTAGGATGTTTAGTAAATCGAGTGAGCGTTTAGATATAGACGAAGAGACATGCCTTTAGGATCTCGATTAATGCCTTCAGACGTTAGCGACCAGTGTGCTGGGTTTAGGGCAAGACCTAGGTTTAGTTTTGGATCAAGGCTATGCGATGACTAGTCGGATTTCGTTTTGCCTGTTGCGATTTTAACCTGATTCCATACCGATTTAGAATCCGCGATAGGTTCTCGGCTTATATGATTCGTCTGGTTGGAACCGAGCATCTCACATGGAACAATTTCTAAGTTGCCCGGAAGTGCTGACCAAAAGTTTAGATTTCTTTTATAGCGCTATTACCCTTGTGTTGGCTGTTCGAGAGCTATCTCTGCGAGATAACTTAAGTTTGTTTAGGACAGTTGCGAGTTTGTTGTGATCAGCAACAAACTTTTTAGGCGATAAATGTTTACGTTGTTTTGGCCTTCGCGAAGGATACGTACGTTAAGAAGTTTTGCGTAATTTTATAGTCGCGGACGGACTGTTAGGTCTTCCAAGAAAATGACTTTATCGAGGAAGGTATTTATGTCTAAAACTAATCTCCGGGCGTCTGCGACGTCTCGCAGTGCAGAAAGTTGGTTTTTATTTTAAATGTCGCGTTTCGTGTTCGGAACGTTTGCGGGCTCGAAGATGTTGCGCGGTGTTGCGAGGTTTTGTTTTAACCCTGCTTTGCAGGAACACTTTGGTTCGTTTGCGGATATTCGCAATTAAAACTTACATTCCTGTTTGGATGTTAGGTAGTTTTATGATTTGTGCTAGAGCAATTAGGACCGAGAGTTCGTGTAAGTTGTTTCCCCGAACGAAGCGTTTTTCGTTACGGCGCTTTGTTAAGTGTTGACCTTCCGAGATTCGTACGGCTTTAGGAGCTCTGGTACGAGTGTTTTCTTATACGTCGGATTTTGTAGGTAACTTGCTTCGGGAATAGAGTGAATCGCGAGAATACAGAACTTAGCCGATTTTCGAGAAGTTTGCATTATCCGTTGAACGTATTGGCTTAGCGTGAAGGTTGTGTTCAGCCGTACAGCCAAGGTCGTATTTGGTAGAGGATTAGACTACGACACTTTCGTGCTATCGAAAAGGTCGAGTCGGTTTGTAAACTTGGCATTGAAGTGAAGCGCGATCGGACAATAGCCGAGTAGCGTTTGTCAAGCTTGATATGCCAAGTATGCCCGTGTTTATAGAAAACGTTTTTCCGTTGTAGGTTTGATTTATACGATGAAAATTTCGTATAAACTTTCCTTTGTATGGAAGTTGTTTCTTTTTTACTCGAGGGAGACAGATCCTAAGAAGCTCGATGCAGAGCCTGTGCAGAGTCGTTTGCGGGGCGGTCTCATTCTCGGATGTAAACGAGACGAATGAGAGCGGATGCTCGTGAACCGATGGGCTAAAGAGTGAGATCTTTCAGATCGTGTCGCGAGGAGGCAAAGTTTAGATTGGCCGCCCTGTGTCGGATCGTATAGCTTGGTTTTTGCTATAAGAAAAGTACTTTTCGCAAAACCTGTTACGTTTACTTTCGAAAGTTACTTCGTTATGACATGATCCTGACCATACGAAGGATTTTTCGCGTAAGTAACGGGCGATGAATTTAGTAATCGACACGACGCATTGGGTTAACAATGCTTCCGCAGATTTTTCGAGAAACCTTTCCGCTTAGTTTTTGATTCTTCGGTGATGGTTTTTTCGGAGTCACTCGCGGAGTTTTACCAAAATTTATTTCACCGAGATCTAGTCACAAAATGTTTTAGCGGGTTTCTCGGACGGAATGAACCACATGATTAGCAATATGATCAGTCGGCGAGAAGGGAGGACGTGTTCTCTATTGCTGCTTTGTGTTCTCGATTTTCCTTTTGCCACAAATGTTCTTGATATTATTCCGTGACTCACTTGATTCGACAGAAAATGATAGCACTGTTTTGACGCCTAAAGATTTCTCGTATAATTTTTCGATTGTTATACGACACTTGTTTTATCAAGTTCGAGAAGATCTTTATGACTTCGGCAAATTATCGAGTTTCACCCTGAAGTTTCGCAGAGATTTTCTAACCGCATGGTTGCGACGAGAGATGCTGTATAGTCCTCGAGATTATTTCCCAGACTGTTTGGATCAGTCTTTAGCGCTTAGACGGTTTTTAGATTGTCGTTTGCTTTTGGGATGATTTCGACGAGGCGTCGCATTGTCCGAATATTTTTCTGCTTGATTTGGCGAGAGTTTGCTTTATAGAAAGCGTTTTCTAGACGCGAGGGAAAATATTCGGCTAAAAGAAAAAAGACGAGTTTCCTTTGAAGGATTTGGATGATCGATAATCCGGGTTGGTTAAAGACTGTGGTAGATTGGCGATGACTTGGAGTATGTCTGGTTTACGAAAATTTCTAGGAGCGAGTCGGTTTTAAGACGACGTCAGCGTCTCTAGCTCCTTCTTTCTTTTAGGAAATGAGTACGTTCGAATGCGTGGCGATCGTTTCTCGGTTGTACGAGAGATTGGATCGGTTTGCGAGTTATGCCTGAATGGTTAGAGAACAACAAATCGGGATAGACAAAAATTG